ACGACTGTTTCACTCCCGGTTCGCGATCTCCTTATATACCCCGGCACTCCAACTGTTTTTTCCTCGTTTCTGATTGGCTCTTAGCTTCGCGCCCTTTTCAAAATTCAAAATTCTTGCTTCGAAACTAGCGTCATCTCTTGATTTTTCTCGGAATTAACCTTCAAAATTAAATTCTTTTTTCGTTGATTTCTCCTTTATTCCTTTATGAAACGTAATAAAACTTCGTATTCAACGTTGTCTTTTCTTGTTTTCAGACATAGATTGGAGTACACGCCAAATTTCAACAATGAGTAAAGTTAGAAAAATTCAAATTTAAATCAAGGATTTCTTCCTCAAAATAACGTTAAAACCTCAAAAAATGGATGAAAAATGTGCTTTAGGAGCTGAACTATAATAATTGATACTTTTTGAAGCAAACAAAACGGTTTAAGATAAGATTTTCACCAACAAAAAATCTCTCTGTCACAATTTCTAGGTTATGTTCTCTCGGTCAACTAAGAGAATGTTAAAATTATCACAATTTATTGAGGAAAAAGGCAAGGAAAATAAAACGTTTTTATATTAATACTTTATTTGTGCAAGTTTACTTACTCCATTTCCTTATTATTCTTTTTTTTTTTTTGATTAAGTTCTTATCGTAATATCTATAATAGGTACATGAGAATACTTACATTATTAAAATTATATCGAGAAATATCACAAAGTCTAGTAGAAAAGTAGTTAAAAGATTTTCATAAATTGAGACTTTTTTGTCCTCGAACGCGGCACCCAAACGATAATTGCGATTCGCACTCGCACGATAATTGTCTTACGTGCTGCTTTATAGGCAAGATCAACGTCCCAATTAATTCCTCTATCGTGTACGGATAAAAGTATTGCTCCAAATTCGATTTCAAATAATTTTCGAGGGAGGAAATCTCAACGTGGAGACTAAAATTAAAAAGAATTTAATTAAACCGTACTATACTCTATATTTTTTTAATTCGGAGGAGTGTTTTCAAAAAGCGCCAAAAAGGATGATTCTAGTTCTATATCTTGTGTTAGTTCTAATGATATGAAATTAGAACTAACACTAGACCTAGAACTAGAAATATTCAAAGTTAATGTCTTTTTTGAGATAAATGCATCATGTTTGGACTCAAAGATTTTTTAATAAAGAATATATCATAAAAGAGCACCATGAAATTGTCCATTTGTCTATTATATGATAATTAACTACCTTCAGGTTTAAAATGTCAACCTCAAATTTGACATATTTGTAATCTTCATTAAAAGTCCTTTAAAATGAGTACAAACACGACATATTTATCTTCAATATTAATGAAGTTATGGTCAACTTCCGGTTAAAAATGTCAATTTTGACATATTTGTAATCGTCGTGAAAAATCCTTTAAAATAAGTCCAAACATGATACGTTTAATTCTAATATTACTCGAGATATAAGCAACTTCCGGTTTGAAATGTCAATGTCATTTTGACATATTCTTAATTTTTATAAAATGTCTTAATATTTGTCACAAAAACAAAAATATAATAAAAAAAAATCAAAAATTAAGGTTGGTATTAATATTTAAAAATTAAATTGTTAACTTCATTGTTGCTAACTTCGGGTTTAATGTTTTTTATTCCAACTTTATTGTTTTTTTGAGATAAATGCATCATGTTCGGACTTATTTTAAAGGTTTTTTAATAAAGAATACATCATGAAAGAACACCATGAAGTTGGCTATTATATGATAACTAACTTCAAGTTTAAAATGTCAACCTCAATTTTGACATATTTGTAATCTTCATTAAAAATCCTTTAAAATGAGTACAAACACGACATATTTATCTTCAATATTAATGAAGTTATGGTCAACTTCCGGTTAAGAATGCCAACGTCAATTTTGACATATTTGTAATCGTCGTGAAAAATCCTTTAAAATGAGTCCAAACATGATACGTTTAATTCCAATATTAATCGAGATATAAGCAACTTCCTGTTTGAAATGTCAATGTCATTTTGATATATTCTTAATTTTTATAAAATGTGTTAAAATTTGTCACGAAAACAAAAATATAATAAAAAAAAATAAAAAATTAAGGTTGGTATTAATATTTAAATATTAAATTGCTAACTTCATTGTTGCCAACTTCGGGTTTAATGTTTTTTATTGTAACTTTTTGGTTTTTTGAGATAAATGCGTCAAGTTTGGACTTATTTTAAAGGTTTTTTAATAAAGAAGACATCATGAAAGAACACCATGACGTTGTCTATTATATGATAACTAACTTCAAGTTTAAAATGTCAACTTCAATTTTGACATATTTGCAATCTTCATTAAAAATCCTTTAAAATGAGTACAAACACGACATATTTATCTTCAATATTAATGAAGTTATGGTCAACTTCCGGTTAAGAATGTCAACGTCAATTTTGACATATTTGTAATCGTCGTGAAAAATCCTTTAAAATGAGTCCAAACATGATACGTTTAATTCCAATATTACTCGAGATATAAGCAACTTCCGGTTTGAAATGTCAATGTCATTTTGACATATTCTTAATTTTTTATAAAATGTTTAATATTTCTCACAAAAACAAAGATATAACAAAAAAAAAAAAATAAAAAATTAAGGTTGGTATTAATATTTAAAAATTAAATTGCTATCTTCATTGTTGCTAACTTCGGGTTTAATGTTTTTTATTCTAACTTTTTTGTTTTTTGAGATAAGTGCGTCATCTTTGGACTCATTTTAAAGGTTTTTTAATGAAGATGACAAATATGTCAAAATTGACGTTGACGTTTCAAACCGGAAGTGATTGTATCTCCATTAATATTAAAGTTAAATATGTCGAGTTTGGACTCATTTTAAAGGATTTTTTATGAAGTTGACAAATATGTTAAAATGAAAAGTTGAAAATTCGAAATTGTGTTTTAATGCTAACTTCGGGTTTAATGTTTTTTATTCCAACATTTTTGTTTTTTGAGATAAATGCATCATGTTTGGACTTATTTTAAAGGTTTCTTTAATAAAGAATACATCATGAAAGAACACCATGACGTTGTCTATTATATAACTAACTTCAGGTTTAAAATGTCAACCTCAATTTTAACATATTTGTAATCTTCATTAAAAATCCTTTAAAATGAGTACAAACACGACATATTTATCTTCAATATTAATGAAGTTATGGTCAACTTCCGGTTAAGAATGTCAACGTCAATTTTGACATATTTGTAATCGTCGTGAAAAATCCTTTAAAATGAGTCCAAACATGATACGTTTAATTCCAATATTACTCGAGATATAAGCAACTTCCGGTTTGAAATGTCAATGTCATTTTGACATATTCTTAATTTTTATAAAATGTCTTAATGTCTGTCACAAAAAAATAATATAAAAAAAAAAAATAAAAAATTAAGGTTGGTATTAATATTTAAAAATTAAATTGCTATCTTCATTGTTGCTAACTTCGGGTTTAATGTTTTTTATTCTAACTTTTTTGTTTTTTGAGATAAGTGCGTCATCTTTGGACTCATTTTAAAGGTTTTTTAATGAAGATGACAAATATGTCAAAATTGACGTTGACGTTTCAAACCGGAAGTGATTGTATTTCCATTAATATTAAAGTTAAATATGTCGAGTTTGGACTCATTTTAAAGGATTTTTTATAAAGATAACAAATATGTCAAAATTAAAAGTTGAAAGTTCGAACTGTAATGTTTGTTATTCTAACTTTTTTGTTTTTTAAGATAAATATGTCATGTTTGGACTCATTTTAAAGGTTATTTTATAAAAATGACAAATATAACAATAAAATTAAAGTTGACATTGAATGTTTTTTTCTTAGCCAAAAAATAGCGTTAAAAAATTACGCTTGTGTAAAATTGACTTTTCATTTTACTCCTCCGCATTAAAAAAATAGAGTATAAAGTGTATTAAAAAACACCAACTTAGCTAGTACGGGTAAAATACTTTCAATTTGCATTGGATTTGTGTAGTTATTTAACACCTGCCATTGATTAAACCAAGTGTTTATCCTAAAATTGTTTAATTAGAAATAAAAAATATTTAATTAATTCTTTTTTTTACTGATCGCTATCAATTAAGCTTCGATACTTCGACTTAATATTGGCAAACCACTCAAAACCAACTAAAATTTGCCATCCAGGAAACGATAATTGCGAAGGAATGGGAATCGGTCTTATGGGAGGTTCCATATGGAGCACCGTTTCTGTATAACCCAATACTTTACTGATTGATCTACAAAATAAAATTAATACTCCATAAAAATTTTTTTTTTATTACCCACGTATAAACATCCTGAGAATATCCTCCAGATAACCAAGTTTTCATGCACAAAAACAACGTTGGAATAGCGCAAGGTAAAATTTCGCATAACGTAGCATAATGATCATACCTAAAATAAAATTTAATTAAATTAATTTACACTGCACAAAAAAATTAGGGGAACACTTTTTTTCGAAATCTGTAAATGTAAATGTTTTTATATCTTATAAGGCATAATGGCGTCTATAAAAATTTATTATCAGAATGTATGTGGTCTTAGAACCAAACTGAGTACTTTGTTCAATAATTCATGACGATTTTCGATTGGTGGTTATTTCTCCAACATTATGATGGTTCCTTCTGGCGTGCCGCAGGGTAGCCACTTAGGTATTCTCCTATTTAATATTTACATTAATGTATACCGACGACCTAAAAATATTTGCTAGCATGTCCTCACCTATGGATTGCTCCGAGTTACAGCGCGATATATCTAAATATATTTTAAACGGCTTTTAAAGTTAATAAGTTGTCGCCATCGTTTTTAGGAACTTTCGTCGCGTTGTAGTACCAATCTGTGATATTGGTTGCATACTTTGTTGGGTACAATAATTAATTAACACACTGTATATAACCAGAGCTGTTACAAGTACAAAGGAAAAGTACTCCCAGTAATAGGTAACAAATATTTTTTGTGAAGTAATAAGTAATTTTACTTGAAACTATAAAATTTCAAGTACCCAGTACAAAGTAATTATAACCCTTGAATGTACAATACATATATCTTGTATTTTTAAATAATTCTCTTGTACTGTAACAGTGTTATTGAAACTTATCATTTTCCAGAAATTTCTACACATATTTCGATTTTTATAACATTTTGCAAAATTTTCCAAATATATCTAGAGATTTTGAAAAAATTTCCTAAAATGTTCAAAGGCATCCTGTAATTTCTGAGTGATTTCCAATAATATCCAAGAAAAAAGGATATCCAATAATCCATTAATAATATCTAGGATTTTAACGATTCTCAAAGATTCAAATAAGCATTTCCAAGTATTCCCATAAGATTTTCAAAGATACCATTCGAATTTCCCAGGATATTTGAGGATTCGAACGAGTTTCCAGAGATTTCTATAGATATTCAGGTTTTATGAAAATTTCCAAATACATCCAAAGATTTTGTAGCAATTTCCTACAATTTTCAAACATAACCAAATATTTCTAAACATTTCAAGGGATATTCGCAAATTTATACGAATTTCTTAGGATTTTTGAATGTATCCAAGGTTTTTGAATGATTTTTTTAGAAAAATTAGAAGAATTTCCAAGGATATCCAATGATTATTACGAATGTCTAGAACTTTTAATTCTTCCCAAACACTTATGTGTGCATTTTTTAATATTTCCAAGTGATTTCCAAAAGATTTCAACGGATTTTTAAGTATACCATAAAAATTTCTCAGAATACCTAAAATTATCTAAGATTTTGCAGATTTCTTCAAAATTTCAAGTTTTTAGAAGATTTTANGCGTTGTAGTACCAATCTGTGATATTGGTTGCATACTTTGTTGGGTACAATAATTAATTAACACACTGTATATAACCAGAGCTGTTACCAGTACAAAGAAAAGTATTCCCAGCAACCAGTAATAAGTATACTCCTAGTAATAAGTAACAAATATTTTTTGTGAAGTAATAAGTAATTTTACTTGAAACTATAAAATTTCAAGTACCCAGTACAAAGTAATTATAACCCTTGAATTGTACTAAGTAATCGTAACACACGGTAGAACAGTGTTATTGAAACTTATCATTTTCCAGAAATTTCTACACATATTTCGACTTTTATAAGATTTTGCAACAATTTTTTAAAATGTTCAAAGACATACTGTAATTTCTGAGTGAATCGAAAACTTTTAAAGGATTTTTACAGAAATTGTACGAATTTCCAATAATATCCAAGAAAAAATATAATCCATTAATAATATCTAGGATTTTAACGATTCTCAAAGATTCAAATAAGCATTTCCAAGTATTCCCATAAGATTTTCAAAGATATCATTCGAATTTCCCAGGATTTTTGAGGATTCGAACGAGTTTCCAGAGATTTCTATAGATATTCAGGTTTTCTAAAAGGTTTTATGAAAATTTCCAAATACATCCAAAGATTTTGTAGCAATTTCCTACAATTTTCAAACATAACCAAATATTTCTAAAGATTTCAAGGGACATTCGCAAATTTATACGAATTTCTTAGGATTTTTGAATGTATCCAAGGTTTTTGAATGATTTTTTAGAAAAATTAGAAAGATTTCCAAGGATATCCAATCATTATTACGAATGTCCAGGACTTTTAACTCTTCCCAAACACTTATGTGTGCATTTTTTTATATTTCCAGGAGATTTCCAAAAGATTTCAAAGGATTTTTAAGTATACCATAAAAATTTCTCAGAATACCTACAGTTATCTAAGATTTTGCAGATTTCTTCAAAATTTCAAGTTCTTAAAAGATTTTATAGGGATTTCCAAACTTATCTAGGGATTTTGAAATGATTTCCAATAATTTTCATCGTCAACTGGGTATTTCTAAAAATTTTAAGGAATTTAGACACATTTTCAAAGCTACCCATCGATTTTTAGGAATATCTTAGGATTTTTGAATGTATCCAAGATTTTTGAATGATTTTTTAGAAAAATTAGAAAGATTTCCAAGGATATCCAATCATTATTACGAATGTCTAGGACTTTTAACTCTTCCCAAACACTTATGTGCGCATTTTTTAATATTTCCAGGAGATTTCCAAAAGATTTCAACGGATTTTTAAGTATACCATAAAAATTTCTCAGAATACCTAAAGTTATCTAAGATTTTGCAGATTTCTTCAAAATTACAAGTTTTTAGAAGATTTTATAGGAATTTCCAAACATATCTAGGGATTTTGAAACGATTTCCAATAATTTTCATCGTCAACTGGGTATTTCTAAAAATTTTAAGGAATTTAGACACATTTTCAAAGCTACCCATCGATTTTGAGGAATATCTTAGGATTTTTTAGTGTATCCAAGGTTTTTGAATGATTTTTTAGAAAAATTAGAAAGATTTCCAAGGATATCCAATCATTATTACGAATGTCTAGGACTTTTAATTCTTCCCAGACACTTATGTGTGCATTTTTTAATATTTCCAGGAGATTTCCAAAAGATTTCAACGGATTTTTAAGTATACCATAAAAATTTCTCAGAATACCTAAAATTATCTAGGATTTTGCAGATTTCTTCAAAATTTCAAGTTTTAGAAGATTTTATAGGAATTTCCAAACATATCTAGGGATTTTGAAACGATTTCCAATAATTTTCATAATCAACTGGGTATTACAAAAAATTTTAAGGAATTTAGACACATTTTCAAAGCTATCCATCGATTTTTAGGAATATCTTAGGATTCTTGAGTGTATCCAAGATTTTTGAATGATTTTTTAGAAAAATTAGAAGGATTTTCAAGGATATCTTAATTCTTCCCAAACACTTATGTGTGCATTATTTAATATTTCCAGGAGATTTCCAAAAGATTTCAACGGATTTTTAAGTAAACCATAAAAATTTCTCAGAATACCTAAAGTTATCTAAGATTTTGCAGGTTTCTTCAAAATTTCAAGTTTTTAGAAGATTTTATAGGAATTTCCAAACATATCTAGGGATTTTGAAACGATTTCCAATAATTTTCATAGTCAACTGGGTATTTCTAAAAATTTTAAGGAATTTAGACACATTTTCAAAGCTATCCATCGATTTTTAGGAATATCTTAGGATTTTTGAGTGTATCCAAGATTTTTGAATGATTTTTTAGAAAAATTAGGATTTCCAAGGATATCCAATCATTATTACGAATGTCTAGGACTTTTAATTCTTCCCAGACACTTATGTGTGCATTTTTTAATATTTCTAGGAGATTTCCAAAAGATTTCAACGGATTTTTAAGTATACCATAAAAATTTCTCAGAATACCTAAAGTTATCTAAGATTTTGCAGATTTCTTCAAAATTTCAAGTTTTTAGAAGATTTTATAGAAATTTCCAAACATATCTAGGGATTTTGAAATGATTTCCAATAATTTTCATAGTCAACTGGTTATTTCTAAAAATTTTAAGGAATTTAGACACATTTTCAAAGCTATCCAGCGATTTTTACGGATATCTTAGGATTTTTGAGTGTATCCAATGTTTTTGAATGATTTTTTTAGAAAAATTAGAAGAATTTCCAAGGATATCCAATGATTATTACGAATGTCTAGGACTTTTAATTCTTCCCAAACACTTATGTGTGCATTTTTTAATATTTCTAGGAGATTTCCAAAAGATTTCAACGAATTTTTAAGTATACCATAAAAATTTCTCAGAATACCTAAAGTTATCTAAGATTTTGCAGATTTCTTAAAAATTTCAAGTTTTTAGAAGATTTTATAGGAATTTCCAAACATATCTAGGGATTTTGAAACGATTTCCAATAATTTTCATCGTCAACTGGGTATTTCTAAAAATTTTAAAGAATTTAGACACATTTTCAAAGCTACCCATCGATTTTTAGGAATATCTTAGGATTTTTGAGTGTATCCAAGGTTTTTGAATGATTTTTTAGAAAAATTAGAAGAATTTCCAAGGATATCCAATGATTATTACGAATGTCTAGGACTTTTAATTCTTCCCAGACACTTATGTGTGCATTTTTTAATATTTCCAGGAGATTTCCAAAAGATTTCAACGGATTTTGAAGTATACCATAAAAATGTCTCAGAATACCTAAAGTTATCTAGGATTTTGCAGATTTCTTCAAAATTTCAAGTTTTAGAAGATTTTATAGGAATTTCCAAACATATCTAGGGATTTTGAAACGATTTCCAATAATTTTCATCGTCAACTGGGTATTTCCAAAATTTTTAAGGAATTTAGACACATTTTCAAAGCTATCCATCGATTTTTACGGATAGCTTAGGATTTTTAAGTGTATCCAAGATTTTTGAATGATTTTTTAGAAAAATTAGAAGGATTTTCAAGGATATCTTAATTCTTCCCGGACTTTTAATTCTTCCCAAACACTTATGTGTGCATTTTTTAATATTTCCAGGAGATTTCCAAAAGATTTCAACGGATTTTTAAGTATACCATAAAAATTTCTCAGAATACCTAAAGTTATCTAAGATTTTGCAGATTTCTTCAAAATTTCAAGTTTTTANTACAAACTTGTTCGTACGAACGTACACTTACGGCCGACTCGGGACTTTCCTACTTTGCTCGTTACACTACTCTATTTTACCACATTTTGCATAGGAGATTTACCGAAAGAGACCGGACGAAAAAATATCTTTGTGAATTCAATTGATACACGGCCTGAGTTCGCTTCAGATCGTTTCAGACATCGTCCGCGTCAATACATTTCGATCAAACGAGATTTTGGAAATAAAAAGTTGAAAATGAATAAAAGGAAAGGTGACCGCGAGATAAAACAAGGTTCGAAAAGAAGAAAACCGATTACTTTTGCTGAAAAACTGAAAATTATTGAAATGGCAGAGAAGGGTGAAAAACTAGCGGAAATAGGAAGACGTTTAGGATACAGTAGATCAACAGTTAACACAATAGTAAAATCAAAAGAATGTTTGAAGTGNTCAACTGGGTATTTCTAAAAATTTTAAAGAATTTAGACACATTTTCAAAGCTATCCATCGATTTTTAGGAATATCTTAGGATTTTTGAGTGTATCCAAGGTTTTTGAATGATTTTTTAGCAAAATTAGAAAGATCTCCAAGGATATCTTAATTCTTCCCGGACTTTTAATTCTTCCCAAACACTTATGTGTGCATTTTCTAATATTTCCAAGAGATTTCGAAAAGATTTCAACAGATTTTTAAGTATACCATAAAAATTTCTCAGAATACCTAAAGTTATCTAGAATTTTGCAGAGATTTCTTCAAAATTTCAAATTTTTAGAATATTTTAAAGAATAAAAAATTTTAAGGAATTTAGACACATTTTCTAAGCTATCCATCAATTTTTATGGATACCTAAAGATTCTTGTAGTATTTCCATTAAATATTTCATAGAATTCCTAAGATTATCTAGGATTTTGAAGAAAACTTTAAAAAATTGTTATTTTACTTATTATTGAAAGTACTGGAAGTAAATAAACTACTTGGAGTAAACAAATAGTTCTTCAAGTACTTCTTATGTCAAACAAGTAACAAGTATCCAGTACAATTTAAGCTAAATACTGAAAATACAAGCATTAAGTACCTACAGTTTGAAAGTACTGGCAGTAAATTACTTACTAAGTAAAAAAGTGTTGAATAAATTAAATTTTTACTGCAAGTAGCTCAACTCTGAATGTAACTTATTATTTAAAACATTACAGATTTCGTAAAAATTGTTCCCCTAATTATTTTTGAGCTAATTAAACAAAATTTTTATAATTTACCTTGACCACCCTGTTAAAACAATCCCTCTAAAATTCAAAACCTTCCCCACATGCATCCCTAACTCAGATAACCACGCCTCATGATTACTAACATGGAATTTATGGACAGGAAGAATTTGACAACTGCTTGTAGCCCCTTTAAAAGCAGTTGCAGCCCAAACATTTGTAAAAACATTCCCATACTTTTCCCATAATTGTCCTCCTAATTGAAAAGTATCCCTACTATTATAATGCCAAATCATTGGTTCAACCAAATTTCCAATGTAGTATTCTTGAAGAATGTTCTCATCAATTGTTCTTAGCATATCATCCCAAATGATAACTCGCAAATTTGGGTAATTTTCTTTGATGTATTGAGCAACTTCGGTTACATGATCTAAATAAAGAGCAGCTTTTCCATATTTATTTGATTGTACTCGTTTTGAGCAAGCCTGGCACAACCCCATGTGCCAAACTTCATCAGCCCCAATATGAAGGTATTGGATGTTTGGGTGGAAAGAGACAATTTGTTTAATTAGACTCCGTACAAGCGACATTGTACCACTATTACTTGGACACATGGAACTTGGATAAGCTTCAACTTCGCGTAATCCCCTCCATTGTTCATATTTTAATACAAATTCCATATGACCAAATGTTTGTACTAAGGGTATTATTTCTAACCCACAATCAGCAGCTAATAAAAATAATAAATAAATTAAATTTGATTTATATTAAACAACTTTTACCTAATTCAAGTATATGCCTTGCTTCTTCTATTGTGTACGGTGCTCCACTTGCTTGGGCACTGTTCGACAAACCCCCAATTTGAAGCAATTCTTTCGTGTACGGAAACGTATCCTCCCATTCTAAAAGAATCCCCGTTGCTCCGATATCTTTTATTAAAGGAAAAAACTACAATAAAAAAAGAAAGAACGAAAATAAATCGTAAATAAATCAATGAGTTACATCATCAATGTTGACATTGCGCAATAACCTAAAAATTAAAAAAACAACAACAACCAACCTTCTCGAGATAACTCGGTTTCGGCGGGGCCCCTTTAAAATCCAAATGGATCAATCTAAAATGTAAAACGCACGTTTTAATTACGAACGAATTAATTTTTCGTTAAAAAAATCACCTGTGAGTACCAAATGTCAAAGTGTCCATGACGCTTAACCTCACTTTTGTTCGCTTTTGTTGTCGTCGCTGTCAAATGTAAAAAGTAAAAAGCACATTTATCGATTTGTTTGTAAACATTTCCTACTTTTTATGAATTTCGAAATAAATCTTGCATTATTTTTTTTTATTAAACTGAAAATTTAGTTTTTAGCCTAAAATTTTTTTAATTTTAATGATAAACGAGAATTTTTAATCGAATATGTCAAATGTCAAATATGATTTTTAAAATCAAATTAACCTTAAAATTAATTATTGATATTATTTGCGTTAAAATGCTTAATTTTTTAGATGTATTACACGCAATCCAACACACTTAAATGACACTGTCCTTAGGATAAGTCTCAAAAAGTAGACGCTTTTTTCTATAACCTGTCAAATTATTGTATTTTGTTTTATCATGTTTTGAATTAAATATGTCACAATGACGTTTATTTGAACTTTTCTTATTCAAAAAGTGAAAAGAAGGAATAAAAATTGTTTTAAATTACATACGTAGAAAAGACGATGATAAACGTTCGATTAACATTCAAATATGCAGGTTACAGAGGTGAATTTCCAAATCTTATACAACTGGGTCAACAAAAATTTATGAAAAAATACCCACGCGATCATCAAAGAAAAGTGTTTTTTCTTTAGGTATAAATCACGTTGAAAACTTAATTAACATTAATCGTTATTAGTATTTTAACCTCAACTATTTAGTTACTGAAAATGTTACTAAAAATCAGGAAAACAACGTACATTTTATAAGGGTCATAGGCAGCATTGCCAACCAAATGTCGATACAATCAATGATAAAAAATCGGTAGGTTTAAATACAAAGTCAGAAAATGTTGTTTGGTAAAAGTTTATAAATGAATTTATATACTTTGTTGTTCTTTCAAGTTATTAAAGGTAACACTTGGAAATCGAAGCATGCTATAGGAAATCTTCTATAACAAAAATTGTAGCAAATTTTATTGTTAACAATATTGCCCTCTTGCACTTTAGCTCTTAGATACGTCAATATCGAGATAGATATGAAAATGTTATAAATTTGTTGCTCTTTCAAGTTATAAAAGGTAACACTTGAAAATCAGAGCCTGCTATAAAAAAACTTTTATAACAAAAATTGTTGCAAATTTTATTGTTAACAATATTGCTCTCTTGCACTTTAGCTCTTAGATACGTCAATATCGAGATAGATATGAAAATGTTATAAATTTGTTGCTCTTTCAAGTTATTAAAGGTAACAGTTGAGAATCGGAGCTTGTTATAAGAAAACTTTTGTAACCAAAATTGTTGCAAATTTTATTGTTAACAATATTGCTCTCTTGCACTTTTGCTCTTAGATGCGTCAATATCGAGATAGATAGGAAAATATAAAAATTTTATGAATTTGTTGCTCTTTCAAGTTATTAAGGGTAACACTTGAAAATCGGAGCTTGCTGTAAGAAAACTTTTATAACAAAAATTGTTGCAAATTTTATTTTTAATAATATTGCTCTCTTGCGCTTTAGCTCTTAGATACGTCAATATCGAGATATATACGAAAATATGAAAATGTTATGAATTTGTTGCGCTTTCAAGTTGTTAAAAGTAACACTTGAGAATCGAAGCTTGTTATAAGAAAACTTTTGTAACAAAAATTGTTGCAAATTTTATTGTTAACAATATTGCTCTCTTGTACTTTTGCTCTTAGATGCGTCAATATCGAGATAGATACGAAAATATAAAAATTTTATGAATTTGTTGCTCTTTCAAGTTATTAAAGGTAACACTTGAGAATCGGAGCTTGCTATAAGAAAACTTTTATAACAAAAATTGTTGCAAATTTTATTGTTAACAATATTGCTCTCTTGCACTTTTGCTCTTAGATGCGTCAATATCGAGATAGATACGAAAATATAAAAATTTTATGAATTTGTTGCTCTTTCAAGTTATTAAAGGAAACAGTTGAGAATCGGAGCTTGTTATAAGAAAACTTTTATAACAAAAATTGTTGCAAATTTTATTGTTAACAATATTGTTCTATGCACTTTTGCTCTTAGATACGTCAATATTGAGAAAAATACAAAATATTATATTTTGAACCGTTTTCAAATTAGGCAGGAGGTTTACTTATGACACGTACTGTATATACCAACGAGCTGGCAACGTTGCTCGAGCGACATTGCCATATCGTTGGTATATACTTTTATGGAATATAAGTAGAGTATTTCCATAAGATACAATTTTTGTCACAACTTTGTAAAAATTTTGAAAATCGGTAGATTAAGTGGTATATCGGTAGACTATCTTCTTAACGGTAGATCTACCCACAAATCAGTAGGGTTGGCAACGCTGGTCCTAGGTAATACCAATAGAAACCCTAAAAAATTTACCTTGACAAGTATTATAGAAAAAAACGAACTACCTATATATGTTGGCTTCATCCTTACTGGGCATGTACCCATTAATGTCATTATTAAACAAAAACATAGTAGACATCAAAGCATATGTTGGTTTAAATATAACAACAGCCTGGAATGTTGAACCTGAATCACAAAAATCTTACCAACATCATACTTACCTGTTGTCCTTAACACTTACTGTAAGTGACCACTATGCGTTGCATTTCCAAGGTAGAACCTGAAATAAAGAAATGATTTAGAAAACTTATAAGTACGAAGGTTTTCACGGCTGGTGTTAATTAAACTAAAACTAACACTAGACAACATGCAACATGAAAAAGAGCAACTCTAGGAATTTCTAGACCACCTCAATTCATGATAAAATTTACCATGGAAACAGAAACTGAAAAACAGTTGCCATTCCAGGATGTGTTAGTCAATAATGTTAGTACAGTAAAGTTTCCGCGGATAGCAACATTCTAACATTTGTGAGATATACGAGTATAGTCTTGTTGGTGTTTTCTGGAGATGGCAATCAATTATGTAGATTGATGTGGTTCAAAATCCAAATGTTTATACTATCGTATTGGGAAAGTTGAAATATGCGCATGTTGAAATATTTCAATGAAACACATTTCACCCTATAGATTATAAGGCATTAACTGATGACATAAATAGTCTAAATATTTCGCTGCTCTCATCATAATATATATATGAGTTGTGTACTGATATCAAAACTGATTCATCATTGATTGATTACCAGGAATGGTGTCTAAACATAAATCCAAATCAGAGATTGATTATATGTGAGATGTCCAAGTATTAAATAAATGTATACTATTTAAATAATTATAAATTTTCAGTTTTGATTCACTTAAGTGACTCAAAAGTTAATTTTATTCAATCGTATATGGCGCTATACAGATAACAACCAAAAATAATCTGATAAATTCTTAAATGTGGCATACGTATGTATTTAGGTAATAAAAAAAGTAGCCGTACGAAGTGATAACGCAATCGATTACTTTTACGAATACAATTTAAGACAATCGAGTGCCTCCACAGATAATAATTAAAGTTTACGTGGAAATGTGCTAAAAATGTTACCTATTTATATAAAAGTTGGTGAGTATTTAGTTTTTTAAAATCAAATAAATAAAATTATGCAAGGAAAATAACTTCATCGAAATTCTTATATACTACACGTAGCTACCTAATTAATTACTTATGAGGCGCCATCTTCATACGCAACCAATAATAAGCATTTTTATTGTTTTTAATATTTACAATTTTTATCCCCTTAATACATTCTAATATATATATTATTAGTATATTATTTTCACCCTCTACCCTCTTCCTCCATTTCCTTATCCTTACCCCCACAACCATTCTCATCCATCGTTTCCCCTCTCCCCCCTCTCCTAAGATCTGCCCTCGGTCCAACTCCTCCTCCCTCAACTCACTGCACCCATTCAACATATGCTCCAACGTTTCCCATTCCTCCCTGCATAGCCTACACCACCTCTCCTCATCGGGCATCCAGTATCTGTTAGCTCCCTCCTCGTTTCCCCAACGGAGCCTAGCCACCAACTTCTTCCCTTCCTCATCTCCTTCCAATAACAAGTATCTAGGCAGCCCCTCCGTTATTATGTCCCTGTACCTTTCGTTATACCTCCCCTCTTTTATTTGTGTCCTTCTTTCCTGTCTCTGCACATCTCGGTCCCTATCTCTCAACTCCCTCCACATCTCCCTACCCACCCTTCGTCTACTATTTATCTCAGTTACCGAGTAGCCCGCTCGTCTATAATAGTTGTCTCTGTCTCCTTTCCCATATCTGATCTTTCCCTCTCTAATTTCCCTCCAACACTCCCCCAAGATCCCGCAGTTTGGCCTCCCTTCTATTCTTTCTTCATATTTCACTGCTCTCCTGCCCC